GTTTAGGGGCAGACACAGGAAGGTCCCTGGATGTTGCTAATCAGGCAGTTTAGTCATTCACTGAGCTCCAGGTTCAGTGAGATGCCCTTCTCAAAAGCTTGGTGATTAAAAGCACTTGTTCCTTTTGCAGAGGAGCTGGGATGGATTCCTGGTACCCACATAGCTTCTCACAACTAATTCTAGTCCTAGGAGGTACACATACATGTGGAAGCAAAACACTCACACACACACCACACACAGAGAGAATCAAAAAAATTTTTTAAAAATTTAAAAAGCCATAGGAGAAGACCCCAGACATTAACTTCTTGCCTCCATGTGTGCAACCATAGGACCGTGCACCCACACATGTGCATACACGTGTACACACACAAATCCACAAAAGAAAAGAAAGGAGGCCCATCTGTCCTTGGGCTGTATGTAGTTTTTAGATGCCTTAGGGCCTCCACGTTTGTTCCCTTCCTGTTCCATTCGCTTCACTAGGATTTATCCCATGGAAGAGCTCTGCATTTGCTGAATTAAATGCTATTAGGAGCTTGGATTTGGGGTGTGTGTGGGAGAAGGCATAGGAATAGTTGGGGAGGAATGCCTTGAGAGAAGTGAAAGCAGGGACAGCCCCAAACTAGAGCTGCCACTGCATGCTTTGTGCAGTGTCACTGCTACAGACCCTCGGAGGAATGCCTTGAGAGAAGTGAAAGCAGGGACAGCCCCAAACTAGAGCTGCCACTGCATGCTTTGTGCGGTGTCACTGCATGCTTTGTGCGGTGTCACTGCATGTTTTGTGCGATGTCACTGCATGCTTTGTGCGGTGTCACTGCTCCAGACCCTCGGGCCTCACCCTTTCTTCTGAATTTACAGTGCTCAGGTTCTGGATTTAGACTGCCTGAGATGTGCGCCTTCTCCCCTCAGCCTTGGAACGTCCCAAACTGTATTCATGTTCTTTAGCCTCCACCCATGTTACAGAGAGCCTCGGTTCTCACTGTTCTCTCCACTGTTGGCCTGGGCAGATCTCCCTGTTCTGTGAGGATTTCATTCTTATCCAGCTTGTGGGTTCAGTTCCTCATTTGTCAGCCTGCTCTGGTCTGGTTTTCTTTCCCTCTCACCTCCAAGGCCTTCCATGTAGCTTCCCTGTAGATCCACTCTCCAAACCTAAGCATCACTAGGACCCAGGAGTGTTCCTATATACCCATAGTATTAGCACTCAGGATGCTGAGGCAGGAAAATAGAGAATTCCAGGCTAGTCTGAGCTATAAAGTGAGACCCTGCCTATAAAGGGGGTGTGGGGGGTGGGGCATCACTAGAAGATGGCTCAGTTGGTAAAGTACTTGCTACTCAAACAGAACTTGGGCTTGATTCCTAGCACCAATGGGAAAGATAGGTGCTGCCAACTTCCACATTCTCTCCCCCCTTCCCCTCCCCCTCCTCCTACCCCCCCTCTCCTTTATAAAAGAAACAAAATAAAACAAAAACCCTAAACCCAACTCTCTGATGAATACCACCACCTTGCTTGGTCCCTAGGGTGTGGAGCCATCTTCTTTGCCCAGGAAGCCTGCCTGATGCCTGCCATCAGTTTACCAGACTTATCAGTTCCTAAAACCTCTCATCTTGCCTCTGCTCATGCTCAGGGAGTGCCTCAACTGCTGCTGAAGAGAAATAGTCTCCTTTATCAAACTCCCTAAATGTCATCCCAACTACTGACAGACTTTTCATTTCTACACATCTCAGCCTGTGAGGTGTTTTCGTTAGCCAAAGCCAGTGATGTGTGTGTGTTTCTGGTGGGTCCCATTGTCTTTCCATACAGCCTATAAACAAGTTCCAGCCCTTTCCTGTTAAAAACAACCATTAGCATCAATTTAGACGTGAGAGGCAGGCACTGAGTCTAAAAGCTCCCCCCGGTGATTCCTGTGTGCATTCAGGGCCAAAAATTATAAAGAGGCTGGGTATGGTCACACATGCCTGTAATGCAAACACTGAGGAGCCAGAGGCAGGAGGATCTGGAATTTGAGAGTAGCCTGGGCTGCATAGTGAGATCGTGTTTGAAAATGTGTGTGTGTGTGTGCGCGCACGCACACGCACGCGCACACGCACGCACACGCATGCACACCCACACACCCACACGCACGCACACACACGTGCACCCCCGCACACCCGCACACGTGGATGAGCACACATGGAGGAGGGTGGGGAGGCGGGGCGGCTCTCTGAGCTGGAGCCACAGCAAACAGAGTCTCCAACAGCCGCCTCGTCCTTTGCTTCTCGGCCACTCCATTGCCTGTGTGTCAAGCCTCTCCCCGGCGCTAGAAAGGGTGTCTGAGCGTCAGCTGTCATTCTGAGAAGCCTTCAAGAACAAACCCCCACTTCTGAATAAGCTCCCAATCCCCTAGAGCTTTTATAGGGAAATTCACCCACATTCGACTATGTGTTCATTTATGTGTATGTCTGTTCTCCTGGGCTGGGTGCTTTGACGAATCCGTAGCTGTGGAGATGCTGTTTGGCAGACTTGGGCTGCATCAGATATTGGAAGATGCTTTTTGTCAGGACCAAGTTCAGAATAGTCTGTGAGTTTGTTCACTCACATAGTCAGCCAACATTTATTAAGGCCTTGCCACAGTCATCTCTCAGTGTGGCTCAGATGAATATGTACATACTTGACACTTCCTGTTTGACTTTAGGACAGTGTCATCATCTTCCCAGTGTGCTTTCACAAGGGGTATGTACGGCCAAGTCTCTCCGTAGGACTTTCAGAGCTGTTTATATACTTGCTCATTGTTTAGGAGAGATTTGTTAAAGGAGTACTCGTTAAATTATATATCAACATGTCCTTTGTGCGATGGCCTGATTCTTCCCTTGACTGTTAATGTTGAGACAGAGACTGCTAAGCACTTTACATGGGTTATTGCCTTTAACCATCACAATAATTCTATCAGCTAGGGACTATTTGTTCTCATATATGTATGATCATACACATATTAACTGGAACGTTTAAGCTTAGAACTTCAGAGTCAAGTGTGGCCTTAGGGCTTTTTGAATACACATGAAAGACATCAGGACCTCGATAAATATTGGTTAACTCAGTAAACACTATTCTCAAGGGAAATATAAAGGCGTACTGTTCTCCCTGCTTGACTCCAGGTCTTAGTTTCTCCTTTCCTTCCATTGTCCTATTTATTTTTAACATCAAATCAGCAAACATGTGTAGGGTCAACTGAACGACAGATAATGGACCCAATTATGGAGTTAAGAGATATGACTAACATATGAACTTTTCCTGCCAAAAGGATGGTGAAGTTGGGAAAGGTGCAGAAAATATGATAGTTAGTCAGAAGCAGGAATGGTTTACAGCATGGAGATCTGACTGTATCTTATGTTGAGCCAAGGGCAAGGCTTGAAAGTCAGAGGCAGCCCCATAGATGGATATGTTCGTATGTAAATTTGTGAACATTCATCTAACCTAACAAGTCTTAGTCACACATGCAAAACACCATTCCAAACGCTCTACTGAGAGCTTTGAGATCCATCCCAGAGTTCACTGGAGAGACAGATGCTGACATTTGATGGCTAAAGTTAGGGCTATGGCTTGAGAATGACAAGTGGATCAGGGACATTAGGGGCCTAGTGTATAGTGATACAGAAGCTGGGTTTGGAAGTAAATTCTTTGCTGTGTCTTGTCAAGAGAAGTTGCTAACAGGCAATCTAAGGAATGCTCAAAACTGTACTCTGGATTTCATCTCTTACCAATGCCTAGGTAGCCACATCCACCAGTTATGAATCTGTTATCCTTCCTAGCCACTGCCTCTTCTGAATTCCTCAACTCTCTGCATACTTACATCATCCTGTTGGCCAAGCTGTAATTGAATCATTATAGGAAAGACAGATTTCACATCATCCAATAGTCGGACTATCTGATGCTGGGGGTGGTGAATTGACAATTAACTACTCCTCCCCCCTGCAGTGTTGTCTGGTTTTCTCAACTTCATCTGTTACCTCTTCAGACCCAGCTGTTTTCTCTCACCTGATCTCTCTAGTACCTTGTACCTGGGCTATAAGTTATGTAAGTGCGGGGAGCAGAGCTTAATGTGGTTTTACACACTGTAGATGGCCAGTAAATGTCTGCCGAATGAGATGAGCAACCTCAAAATTCTTGTTTTCTTCTGCTTCTAGAATAAAAGTCAGACTGCCTCATTTGGCCTCCAAGATCTACTACACTAAACCGCAGCCAATTTCACTTGCTACCCCCACCCCCTTTCACTACCTTGAAGGCCAGTTTAGACAGTGATTCACATTTCTTGCCTGGGGCCACTTGTATTCTGCCATCTCCGTTCCAGGAAATCCTCTCCGCGGCTCTTAATGCTAGGACTCATCCAAGTTTATAGGCTCTGAGAAACATGGTGGTGGCCGGCTGCTGCCTCCCGCTAAAGCCTCCTGCCACCCCAATCAGCCCTTAGTAGGCACTGCTGGCCCTCCTATTGCTGGAAAAACCTTGAGGGAATGGTTGAACCCTGGAAATTTCCCGTAATAAACCGCGACTGTCACAAAGCAAACAGTGGGTCCTCATGCTGGACTAGACAGAGGACCACGAATGGGGCCATACAGGCTGAACGTCAAGAAGAAGCTGGGTGCGGGCCAAGCCATAGTCATCGGCGGGACAGGCTGAGAGATGCGAAGGAAGGGGTGGAGAGCTGGGGCTGGGTGTGCTTCCTGCCCCGGGATCTGGCGACCCGCCCTTGCTCCCGCCCTGGCGGCCAGGCAGGCGCTGGACGGCCCCTCCTGCCTCGGCCAGCCGCCCAATCAGCAGGCGCCCCCCGCCCGGCCCGCCCCCTCCCTCTCTGGTGACAGAAAGTCGGCCCAGCAGATGAGGAAGTGGCCGGCAGGCGGCCCTGGGGACTTCTCTCCGGCCCTGATCCCTTTGAGCCCTCCACTGCTGTCCGCCTGGCTCCCACTGGTGAGTGTGTACCTTCCATGGCTCCCCACGTGCCAGCGCCCCCTACCTGGCTGGCCAGGCTAGTCCTGCCCTGCCCGCCCTGCCCTGCCCTGCCCTGCCCAGGCTGTGGGCGAGGCTGGTCCTGGGGCGAGTGGGTGGGAGGTCCCAGCTACTGGGCTGGGCCTGCCCAGCATGATCCCTCCCCGGCACCTTGGCCCCTGACCCCCATTTGCTCACACCTAGTTCTTTTCCAGCACCTCCTGGCCTTCCTCCCTTTGCCCCCTCCTCTCTTTCCCCTTCCTGCCCCTTGCCGGTGCCCTTTTTCCTTTCCATCCATCTTAAGGGAACTGGCTCTGTTCCACCGCGGGAGGGGTGTTGCACACCCGGGTTTCCCTCAAGCTTAGGGAGAGATCCTTCTCAGAAGTCTGGACTCCCTCCTGTCCTCGGGGTCAGTGTGTATCTACTGGTGTAAGTGGTGGTGAAGGGCGAGTGAATTGGAGGAGGTGGTTGAAGGAGATAAGGAGCTGGCAAGCTCACATGTGTCAGAGAGGAACTGTGTGTGAGCACATGCCTAAGTGCTAGGCCCCACTCCAACATAAGTCACCACCAAAAGTGTGACTGTAGGAAGAAATGAGTGTCAGTCACCAAGAGCTCTGTGTGAAGGAGGGAGGTGTGGGTGAGATGTACCCATGCCTGGTCAGCTGTATGTGCCACAGTTAATGCAATCCCTGACAGGTGTGAAGTTTAGGAGCCTGGCATGTCAGAGTCCAGTAGGGAGGCCTGTTTTGGTGGCGTGGTCAGCAAGATATGCATGGACTGTGTGTGGATGTATGCTAGCTCGCTCCTGGTATGGTATGCGTGTCTCTGGCGTGGTTGGGAGCTGTGTGATGAAGGTACACATTAATGTGTGATAGTGCAGATGTGGATGGTAGAACTCGAGCCCCAAGGCAGGAGAGTGATGGAGAGCACCTGGAGCACTCAGGGTGTTGGGCAATTGCCGGATCCCTCTGGGACAAAGTCCTAGGCTTTCCTGGGTCTAGGCTAAGTTTTTGTATCCCTGTAAGCTTTCCCTTGACATTCCTTCCAAGTTGAGGAGGAGGGAACCTAGCCCATGAGGCTCTCTCCCAGAGGAGGGAAAGATTCCTGAGACCTCCTCCACTCCCCCACCTCCTCACATACCACTGGTATCCTTACCCCTCCCTGGTAGGGAAGGGTGATGCCCATTCTGAAGTAGGACAAACTGAGAATTCATGGCTGGTTTCAGAGAGAATGCTGGGTGTGAGTTTTTAGCAATTTTTCTGGCTTTGGCCAGACGTCCTGGCCAGAAGTTTCTAGAGAACCTACAAACTTAGCTTATCTGGCTGGTCAAAGGTGATGAGTCTGGGGCCTTACTTGGCTTTCTCAATTCTGGTGGGTCTTGCTCCTCTAGGCATTGACCTGTGGCCTGGACCCACCCTCCACCCCATGCCCAATGTAGCGGGGGCGGGAGGAGGGCGGGGCTGCTGCAAGATCTAGTCAGACAGGTGGAGCCGCCAGGGCAGGAGTCTCAAAGAGCCAGGCTCCTGGAGTGGAGAGAGAGAGAGGCAGAACTTGCCGGTGAGAAGAGGGGAGGAGAGAGGCTGGAGGTGAAGCACTGGAAGAAGGCAGGAGGCTGGAGGTGAGAGCCTGGAAGGCAGGGGGAAGCCTGGGGGACTGGGGTTGACCATGGGAAAAGTGAAACCCTAGGTTTGTTCAGGTACTAGAAGGGACAGAGGGGGGACCATGGAGGTAGAAGTCCCGGTAGGGGACAGAGGGGAGATGGGAATCTTGGGAAAAGACCAGAGGGACTTTACCTGGGAGAAGGGGTTATGAGAGGAGTGGCTGAAGGGGAGAATCTCTGGAGAGAGAAGAGTGTCTCTCAAAGCTGAGAGATGAGACTGTTTGCTAGTAAGGGTGAGTGAGGAAGTTCACTGAAAAAGACCTGTGTTGTGAGGAGAAAGGCTCCAGAAGGAAATATGGAAGGCAGAGTTGTCTCAAAGACAGAGGGCGGTGGAGAAGCAGGGAAAGGAAACTCTTGAACAGAGTCGAGGGAAAGGTGTGGAGGGGAAGGGTGGGACAGCTCTACCAGGCAGGCAGGATGCTTGGGGAGCTGATGCTCCATCTGAACTGCCTTTTCTCCCAGTATGCCCCTGCTTACCATGGTCAGGATTGAACTTGGGGCCTTGTGCATGCTAGGCAAATACTTTACCACTTAGCTGGACTCAGCCCTATCCTTTTGTCAGTGAGGCATCAGTTGTCTGATTCTGTGTCTTGTCCCTATGGGCCAAGTGTGTCAAGGGGGTGCCATGCAGTGGTCCCTGTCTGATGCCCACTCTCCATCCCTCCTTAGAGATCTTAGCCAGGATGGAGGCTGTTGTGAACTTGTACCAGGAATTGATGAAGCGTGCAGGTAAGCCGCTGTCTATAGCCCTGCCTTCCCTTCTTTCCTAGGATCCCAGAATCTAGAGTTGTGTCCTAGGAAAGTCTTTATGAACTACTTGTGACCTGACCTCATGTCTAGACCTGGGAAGGCTCTTAAACCCTGTGACCCTTACTCTTTTGACATCCTATTCACAGATCCCCGGATCCAAAGCTACCCTCTGATGGGGTCCCCCTTGCTAATAACATCCATCCTTCTGACTTATGTGTACTTCGTCCTATCACTTGGGCCTCGAATCATGGCTAATCGGAAGCCCTTCCAACTTCGAGGCTTCATGATTGTCTACAATTTCTCACTGGTGTTACTCTCCCTCTACATTGTCTATGAGGTAGGCTGGAATGCCTAGGCTGTAGTTTCTGTCTCCAGGCTAAGAGTTAGGGTACTGGGCATGGGCCAGAGCATGGCAATATCTATTCCAAAGGTTGTTAGCGAAGGGGAAGGGTTGCTGGGAGAGGGTTGTGGGGGTCTAATCCATTCTTTTTCTTAGTTTCTGATGTCTGGTTGGCTGAGTACCTACACCTGGCGCTGTGACCCTGTAGACTTTTCCAATAGCCCTGAAGCACTTCGGGTAAGTAGAGCCTTAGTTAACCATAATTATAAGCAACCTAGATGAGAGTCAGTTGGCCAGTTAGCAGAGGCTCTTTGGTTACTGTGTTAAGTATTAAGAATGATCTAACTTCTCACAGATGGTTCGAGTGGCCTGGCTCTTCATGCTTTCCAAGGTCATTGAGCTGATGGACACAGTGAGTACTTACAGCTGCTAGAACTTGGGAGTGGAAAGGAGGACCCTGGCACTCAACCTCTCCTTCTTCCCTCAGGTGATATTTATTCTCCGGAAGAAGGATGGGCAAGTGACCTTCCTGCATGTCTTCCATCACTCCGTGCTTCCCTGGAGTTGGTGGTGGGGGATAAAGGTTGCTCCAGGTGAGCAGTGACGCCCACAGGAGCAGAGGGTGGCCACTGGGAGTAGAGGCTCATCTGACCAGCTTCTTTCCCATTTTAGGAGGAATGGGTTCTTTCCACGCCATGATAAATTCCTCTGTACATGTTGTCATGTACCTCTACTACGGACTGTCTGCCCTTGGCCCTGTGGCTCAGCCCTACCTTTGGTGGAAAAAACATATGACAGCCATTCAGCTGGTGAGGAGTGTTGGGCCTAAAACCAAACCCCCTATTTCTTAGTTCCTTCTTCTATCCATCCAGCCTCACCTCTGATCCCTCCCTTCCCCACTCAAAGCTTTTGTCTATTTCCACTCCTCCCGAACCTATTTCTGACCCTTGTCTTTTCCTATCCCAGATCCAGTTTGTCCTGGTCTCACTGCACATCAGCCAATACTACTTCATGCCCAGCTGCAACTACCAGTACCCACTCATCATCCACCTCATCTGGATGTATGGCACCATCTTCTTCATCCTCTTCTCCAATTTCTGGTATCACTCTTACACCAAGGGGAAGCGGCTGCCCCGTGCAGTTCAGCAAAATGGAGCTACCACCAAGGTCAAGGCCAACTGAGAAGCATGGCCTAGACATTGCCCACCTAAGTGCCTCAGGACTGCACCTTGGGCAGCATCCACAAGTGTCCTCTCTACCTAGACCCAGGGCTCTTGTGGTCAGGACTGAGTAGGCGGACTGGCTCTCCCCTCCCTACAGCGGGTCTACAAGAGACCACTGTTCCCATTCCTTCTCCCAGCCAGCTCCAGGGATGTGGCCTTACTGCTGTCTGCCACCAGAACTGGAGGCTGAAAGGGCTGGACACTTACTTCCCCCTCCCTGCCTTAAACTTGGGAGAGGAACACTCAGGGCTGGCCCGCACCCGGGTCTTGTGGCCTTTCTCCTCACACTGAAGAGGTCAGCAATAATCTGTCACTGTGGACTCAGGCTCCCTTTTCACTCCACATTGAAGCATGAGCTTCTGGGCCAAAGGTCAGGATGGGCAGGCAGCAGGCCTGGCAGTGCAGGCTGTGCACTCACTTGTGTCTTAATTAAAGTGACAGGAAACCACTGAGATTGTGCGTGTGTAAATGTGGGGAACACAGCTTTAGCTCTGGCATCATTACAGACAGAAGGGATGTCTGGCAGTGCAGGCAGTGACTCCAGCTACTGGGGAGGGTACAAAGCAGGAAGCTCACAAGTTCAAAAGGGGGTGGAGGGAGAAGTGGCCAAAAGTTCCCACAAGACAGGGGCAGCCTGTAGGATGGATGCTGGGACACAAGAAAGAAAGATACAAAGTTTATTAGAAAAAAAAATAAAAGAAATCGAGACGGGAAATGGGTTTGTTTTCAACGGATGCCTTGGTGGATAAGGCTACTTTTGGCTACACTGGCTTTTTCCCGCTCCCGCCGAAGCGCAGGGTCCAGCTCAAAGCAGCGCCACAACCGTAGAGTCTCATCAGCTGCTGCTGATGCCACTGTGGCCCCATCCGGACTCATCGTGAGACTCAGGACCCGGGCCGTGTGACCTAGGGCGAGAGCAGTAGTTCATTTGAGTATACACATGTCCTCCCTCCAACCAGACACTCTCCCTTCTATAATTCCGAGGTATTGTGTTTGCAGAATTAGGTTGTGCATTGTTACCACCAGTACCACAGCATTCTAAATCACACCTCCTACCATCCTCACCAAAGCCCATAGCAAGCTGTTAGTCTCTTAACTCTACATGTACCTGTTCTCAACAGTTCACATAAATGGAATCACACTTCCCATCATCCTCGCCAAAGCCCGGGGCAAGCCATATTAGCCTGTTTATTCTCAATATTTCATATGAATGGAAACATATACTATGTGGCTTTTCTACCTGGCTTCCGTTTGCCACCTACCTTTGAGCTCAGCCACCTTGGCCATGGTTGGGTACTTCCAAATAACCAGCTGGTTCTGGGCAAAGCCATGACCTGAGATAAGCTCCTTATAGTGGGGAGACCACAGGATGGAGCACACCTGTGGAAAAGGGGCATCATGGGCATGATATTAAGCCAGGGCTACACAGAACCAAGTCCATTCTAGTGTAAACCCTATCAGGGGCTACAGATTTAAGCTTAATGGTTACAGTCCTTACTGAAGCCCCAAGACAAAATCCGTGTTAAGATGAATCCACCAGAGTTACCCAAGGTAACACCATCGGTGACTCCCTGTGTAACTCCAACCATCTGCCTTCAGAGCCCATGCCTGCAGTGAAGGCTGAGCGAGGGGGATGGACAGGGAGAGCTGGAGTATTGACAGCAAGGCAGCAGGAGCCTCACATGCTCTCATGTATTTGAGTTTATGTTGTAGGTTGTGGGAGTCATCACAGGCTTAAGGACAGTAAGCTACCACTCAAGAGTGTGAAGTATAGAAGACTGGAAGACAGAGTGTGTGGGAGCCTGGGCATGGGGGTGCATGTAATCTCAGCACTTGGATGCTAAAGCAGGAGGATCATTACAAGTCTGAGGCCAGCCAGGGCAAGACCCTGTTTCAATAAATGAATCACTAAAAGAATGAATGAATGAATGAGGACTCCGTGCCGAGGAAGGGACAGATGTGAATGATATTCCAGGGTAACAATGAAAATGAACTGCCTTGAGGATGAAAGATCAGGTGGCTCTTCAGCTTTCTTTTCTTTTTTCTTTTTTTTTTTTTTGGTTTTTCGAGACAGGGTTTCTCTATGTAGCCGGGCTGTCCTGGAACTCACTCTGTAGACCAGGCTGGCCTCGAACTCAGAAATCCACCTGCCTCTGCCTCCCAAGTGCTGGGTTTAAAGGCACGTGCCACCACCACCCGGCCTCTTCAGCTTTCGAAGCAGGTTCTGCTATCTGAGACAGTACAAGAGGCACATCTGAGGAAGGGACAGTGAGGTGACAAGCTTAACTTGGCCACATGGAGGTGATACTCGAGGGCTGGAGATAAGCCAAACTAGGAAATGGGAATGGCAATGAGGGCCGAGTCAGAACGTCAGAAACGATCAGGTAGAGCTGGAGTGGAACTGGCTGTTCAGAAACGTCACATAGAGGAACACACCTCTGCCTGGGATAGGTCAAACCATGAATCACCAGTAGCAATCACAAGAAAACTACCTGAGAATGAACATCCACAGCATTCAGACAGGCCCCAGAGCAGACATTCCAAATGCGAATGTGTCGGTCACTGGTACCTCCTCCTGTTGCCAGGATATTGGACTGCCAGGGACACCATGCAACAGCCTGGGTGGAATGGATAAAGGCTGTGTCGGTCAGGTCAGCAGATACAGTAGAAGCTCTATGTGTAATAAGTACTGAGCTTTTCTATGCCCTCTTTACCCTTGAAATGACACAGGAACCTGGCACATGTATTAAAGAGCTGTTTGCACTATAGCTGGGCAGGGATCTCATCTATTCTAATCCAACTATGAAGCCTACCACTCAGCACCTGCCCTGTAACCCGACAGCTTAGTCTCGCCCTGGCTTTTCCTGCTCCTTCAGTCTCCTGAAGACTCTCGGTGACCTCTCTCCTCTCTCCACCAGCACCTGCTCGCTGGGATGGAAGTCCCACCTTAAACTCTCCTCCCCAGCTATAGGTTGATCAGCTCTTTATTAGCCAATCAGGAGTGATAATAATTTTTACACAACACCAAGACAACAGGAGATGCTTCAGTAATCATGACAATGCTGATGTTGGAAGGCAACCAGCTCTCTGGGCACAGTAATCATCTGAATACACAGTGCATAGAAGCGTCTCCCAGTGTCTAAGTGTTACAAACTCAATCCCACCTTGTCTCCTCCTCTTAGTAGTTTATAGCCGAGAGGCTGTAAAGACCTCAGCTCAAATGCTTTCTCACCTTGACAGCACCTTGATGTTGAGTGAATGTTTGCAGGGGAGCCCAGCCACTTTCTCCAGGACCACTAGGCCACACGTTGACAATGTTATCATTGCCACCGCTTGCCAAATGTCGTCCATCTGGGGCCCAGCGCAGCCCACATACTTCCTGGCTATGGCCACTCAGTGTGGCCACATGGTGTTCTGCTACCCGGACATCATGGTGGTGGATGTGGCCAGACCGTGAACCACTGAGGGAAGAAAAGAGATTTAGTTCTGGATGGCTGAAAGCAGAAAGATTTTGCTATAGACTAGCAAAAACCACTGACCTGGATAGGATATAGCTGTTCCAACTTAGGGAGCTTACTCGAGCGGAGTGACTGGTCATGTTTCGAAGTCGTTTCTGCTGCTGTACATCCCATAGCTGCAGAGGCAAGACCACAGGGCCACAGATTAAAGCTAGGAGCCTTCCAGCAGGGCAAGCTCCTCCCAGAGCCCAATGACCATGGAGCCACAATATCGGGACCAGGCTCACCTGCACTTCAGCATTACTGGTGCCCACTGCTAGATAGTTGCCCTCTTTGATCCAGGCCACTGAGGATATGTAGTCTCCAGGCTGCTCCATTTGCAACAACTGCAGGATGTCACCCGAACCAGCATTCCATAAGTACACACTGTTGTCCAGTGCCACAGCCAGTACGTTTCCAGAGCTCCAATCCACAAGATTCAGGTCTGCCAGAGGAAGAGAGAAAACATGAGGTCCTTTCTTTGTTGGACTGGTCCATTCCCAGGCCATCTTTCTCCATCTACAGACAAGGACAATGGTGCACTTACAGTAGTCATTCCGGATTTCAGGGGCATCAAGAATTCTGTCTGGCAGGGAAGGAATGTATCTGCAAGCCTTCCGGCTGGAGCCAGGCGTAGCTTTCTGACTATAGAGTACTTTCAGTCTGTTCTGGTAGCCTGTGGCAAGAGACTGGGTCTAGACTTGGAAATGGATACCCACTCACATGTGGAAAAGCAGCCACATGTCTCCCCTTAGGAAGGGCTGACAACGATCTCCATGAATGTCACTTCTTACCTTCTGGGGCATTCTGAGGTTTTCCACTGAGCCTGAGGATCTTGGCTTCCTCCACATCAAAACCGTTCAGGTTCAGAGCCCAGGCTTTCTGATGCTCCTGAAATACACCGGTGGTGGCGTGAGGCAGACTGGCATCAACCAGGGGACAGACACATCAGGTCTCATGTCTCATGACCCCTGTGGAAGCATACCTTCTTGGTGGGTGTCCCCCCGTCTTCCGGCTGGTTCTCCTTGCTCAAGAGGAAGCTGGCCACCTCCATTTGGGAAGCACTACGTTGGGGGATATAGCGGTCACCTCCAGGTTTGCTAGGGGTGGTCTGAACCTTGGAATTAGATTTGCCTGGGGCAGGGAGAGAGAAGTCAGACAGCCCGACGAGGCTCCTGGAGGGAGCATAACGGCCGATTCTCAAGCGATTCCATCTCCCTCCATCGGCCACCCACTCACCGGGAGTTCGGCTCGGGGTCCGGCCGGCGCTGTGTGATCTGTTGGCGGCCCGCATGGGCGAGGGGGCTGGGCCTGTGCCCTCCTTTGCTTTGCGCTGCCAGCGCGCAATCGGTGCATTGGGGATGGGGGCGTCCAGTTGAAGCAGTGAGTGCAAATCGCTCTCGAACACGAACTGCGCCATGGCACGTCTACGGGGGCGGGGGGGGCGAGAGGCGACCAAGCTCGGGACCTCGCCGGGCTCCTGGGCTCCGCTTGCCACAGTTCTCACCAGCCCGGCACCTCCCTGTACTCCGCTCTCCCAAACACAAATCGTCCTCACAGGGCGTCCGTGGAACTGCCGCACGCGTACTTTTCTGGACCAACTAAAGGCACGCCGGACTGTTGTTCTTAAACTCTCCGCTGCTAGCGTTCATTGGCTCCTTCAAAACCCAACTGTCTTAACCGTCGCCCTTGCCGATTGGTTGCTACACTGAAGAGGGGCTGGTCTTCCGGGAGCAAGTCTCACGAGAGTACGACGAACAAGCGTTTGAAACGAAATCCCGAACCCACCTCCGGGAACCTTAGTCCGAGCCCGAATCGGAGAGCAGGGGCGGGTCCTGCACAGCTAGCCAGTCCTCGGGATCCGCTCTTCGCTGGGCTTCTCTCTGTTAGACCTGGCAGTTAGAGGATCTGGGAGCCTGTGAAAGGCCACACGAAGCCTGTATGTGGGTGGTACTTAGGTTATATACACACAGGTCAACTCGACCCCGAGGACCCAATTGGTGGGCAGGTGGCGGTCTGGATGGGGAGGGCACCAGAAACCCTGCTAGGAAGGAAGTATGCTGGCCAGTGTGGGCTTCAACAAACAAAGTGAGAGGAAGTGGGGGTCAAAACAATGATGAGAATTCCAGCCTTTTGTTGTGACGATTAGGTTAGGTTGCTCTTGGGGACATCACATCCTGTGGCGGACTCGTGGGGCTCTGGATTCTTCAGAGTCCTAGAGATTCTGGGTTGCACAAAACCTGCCAGAGCAACTCGTTTTGTTAGTTTCAGACAAGGGTCTCACTATGCAGTCCGGGGTGGATCTCAGAGATGCAGTGGAATTTAAGGCGTGCACCACCACACCACGTTATGCTGATAGAAAAACGAATGTGCAATGCAAGGAATTTGCCTAAGGTCATAAAAAGAGGTTACTAGAATCTAGGTCTGGGGCCTGGAGAGATGGATCAGTGGTTAATGGCTTCTTGTTCTTCCACAGGGCCAGGATATGGTTTTTCAGGCAGCACACAACTCCCTAATTCCAGCTCCAGGGCTTCGATGTCCTCTTATGGGCTCCATAGGAACACACACAGGTGGCACACACACACACCCCTCCTCCACCAATAAAAATAAAAAATTTTAAAGAGGAGGGGAGGCTAGAGAGATGGCTTAGTTGATATCACTGGATGCTCTTCCAGATTACCTAGGGTTCAGTTCCCAGCACCCAATATAGGTTCTCAAGCATCTCTGACTCTAGTCCCGGGGGATCCAATGCCCTCTGTGGCCTCTGCCAGCATCAGGTGTGCGTGAGGTACACAGACTTAGATATAGGCAAAGCACATTTTTAAAAAGTTGTGAGCAGGGCAGTGGTGGTGCACGCCTTTAATCTCAGCACTTGGGAGGCAGAGGTAGCGAATTTCTGAGTTCGAGGCTAGCCTGGTCTACAGAGTGAGTTCCAGGACAGCCAGGGCTATACAGAGAAACCCTGTTTCGAAAAACACAAAAAGGTTGCCCTTTGATCTCCCCACCCATAGCATACCTCTTCTTGCCAATAGCAATGAAAAACATACCAAAAAAAGAGAGAATCTAGGATATAGGTGTGACTTCCATTTAGTCCAGGGCTTTAGTGACATGAATATGCTCGAAAAGTAAAACGGCAGTAATGCAAGTATAATGGGTGCTACTAACTGACCGTCTGCTAACTACTGCATTAAAACAGTTAACATACATATTTTGGAAACACACTCTCATGTAGCCCAGGCTGGCCTGGAACTCCACGTAGCTAAGGGTGACCTTGAACTTTTTTTCTTTTTTCCTTTGAGACAAGGTTATGTGTAGCACTGGCTATCCAGTAACTTATTCTGCAAATCAGGGGCCTCTGCCTTAGAGTGCTGGGATTAAAGGTGTGTGTCACCACACCTAGCAAGTTTACTGACCTCTTAAGGCAGATGAATAAACTGCCTTAATTTTACATAAAAAAAGGAATTAGGTCGGAAAGCCTGGCATGGTGATACACACCTTTTCTGCCTTTAATCCCAACACTTGGGAGGCAGTAGCCGGTGGTTCTCTGTGAGTTCCAGGAGAGGTAGGGCTATGTAATAGAGAGACCTGGTGTCAAAAAAGCAAACAAAAAGAAAAAAATTGGGTCCGAATGAGGTAAGAGATGTTGGGCACACCATTGAGTCACAACAATATGCTCCCTAGGGAAGGACTTGGAAGATGGTCGGTCCTTAGCCTAAGATCACCTCTGGTGATGGCAGAATCTTCAGCTGTTAGCCAAACTCACTGTTGTTTCTAGCTCTGAAGCACTTGGTTTTTGTTTTGTTTTGCTTTGTTTTTGTTTTTTTTTTTCCGTTTCTAATTACCTTGGAAAACTAGAAGTTAAATGTTGTACAGTTCCTCAGTGGCGAGTTCCTGAACCTCCGAAAACAGTAAAGGGTAGCCTCGTGTCAGACTTACATGTTAAGCTATGGAGTTTGGCCTTTATCTGCCAGGAACTGTGGGGACAGTGGAAGTTCCTGTGAAACATGTCAAACGGATTTCAACTTCTGGACTAAGAGAGTTTAAGACAATGCAGCTACAGGAGATGTGCATTGGAAAGTGTGCGTGCCCGAAGCCCCAACAGATGTGTAGAGTTGAGACCTTGCCTCTAAAAGAAAAAGTGAACCTTACAATTACGATATAACATAGGCAAGGGATCTGGCCACTTGAGAATCGAGTCACTGGAGACTGAGGAGGGGATAAGTCAATGAACCCATGGGGTTCGTTTCAAAGGGCATGCGGAAAGCAAGCCAGCAATGGCATCTGGAAGCTTAGCCGTGAGCCCCGCCTCTGAGCCCCTAGTGTCCTAGAACTTCCATAACCGAGTACCAAAAAATGGGTGCCCTAGAGGACAGATACCTGTTGCCTCACAATTCTGTGGCTACAAGTGCCAGACCAAAAACGGTAGTGGGGTGGTTCTTTTGGAGAATCCGGTCCATGCTTCTTGGGCTCCAGGTGGTGATGGTGGTTCTTGGATTCTGACCATCTTCATTTGGCTTTCTCATTCCGCCATCTATGTCTAAAGTCCCCTCTTCCCCTAAGAGTACCAACCATACTGACTCATTTTAACTAGTTTTGTGTGTAATAATCCTGCTTTTAAAACAAAAAAAAATCACAGTTGAGGTACTTGGGTTTAAAATTTCGAAGTCTACATTTTGAAGACAGAATATCCTCCCATGGAATTCAAACAGGAACAAAACTCTTAGGAATCCTCTGGTACAGACTCTGAGTCAACTCTGTCCATCAAAGGAGAGAAGGGCAAAGAGGGTCCGATGGTAGCAAACCGGTGGCATACGGCATAGTCATAATTCATCCTTCTGCCATTAAAAAAAAAAAAAACTCTATTCCAAGAGACTCAAAACTAAGCATTTGAATAATTTATTCCTCTGCCCCCTCCTACTGAAGGTGAACCTGTCTTGTAATTATTCCCTCTAGGCCTGATGGGTCATCCTTAGGTTGGTGCCAGCTTTGTTACTAGCTCTGTGGCACAACACTGTTCCTTTATGGCTTTCCAAAATCCCACCCCTGCCTTTGTAAATGTGTCCTGTATTAAACTTATCAGTTTACCCAGTTTGTGCCATCCTCCTCTGCCAAGACCTTGCCTAACAAAGTGGGTATATTTGGAGCTAGCAGAGACCCAAACATGCTAACGTGATTGAGAGTTTGAATAGCTCAGAGAGATCTGTAACCTGAGTGGCTTGAATTTATTTCCCACTGCAAAGGGGTGGTACGAGGGGGCACGGAAGCTAGCATGGAGTTAAGGCAGCATCATTCAGAAAGGTTTCATTCAGACGGTATTTATTGAAGGTCTGCTACCTATCATGCACCAAATAGTATTCAAGGTGCTGGGGGAAAGGACAGATGCCCTTGTCCTTTCAACTCAGCATCCGGGAGCAAGAAACACACGTTAAAATCCTCACAAAACACTGTGGGCACTATAGAAGTCTGGGCTGGAGATAAGAGCTTTCTGATGGTCATCATATAATAAAGGCCAGAATAGGAAAAGAAGAAATAATTAGGACGCTAGTTGAGGTATATTAAGCATTTACTCTATCCTAGCCGATGTGTTCTCAATTGTTCACAGGGTTCTGTTATCTTTGTAGATGAGAGGGGAAAGGTTCAAAAGGTTTCAGCTCTTTGGCTAAATCTGCACGGCTAGCAAGTGTGAATGACAGGACCAGAGCCTGGCTCTAGCTCCAGAGTTGGCTCTTTTGCTGCTAGTATGAAAAGTAGAGACTTTCCCCACCCTCCAAGAATTTGGATCTCAAGAGGAGCTACAGGGCATGGCACCTTTAGTCACGGCAAGTAGATCTCTGTGAGTTTGTAGCCAGCCTTTTCTACATAGCAAGTTATAGGCCATCAGAGTTATATAATAAAACACTGTCTAAAAAATAAAAAATAAGGGCCAGAGGAGCCTAGGGGCTGTGGAGAAAGAGCTCTGGACTCGTGAGCAGCGTTCCGGAGAGATCAGTGTTATAAAGCCCAAGGAGGTGGGTAAACAGAACGGATGGATGGTGTTGGGTGTTGGTGTTAAGGATGGATAAGATAGTATGCAGGAAGCCGTAGGTCTGCAGTAGCATGGGACTGACTACCTTCAGGGCTGCTTCCAATAGCTTAGTGGTAGGTAGGAGTGGTTGGCAATGTGTGTGGTGCAGCAAGACCCTGTCTCAGCCATGGGTGGACACACAGACAGGGGCATGGTCCGCAGGCAAGGTTGCAGTCCTCTGTAGTCCATCTGAGGTTGGGAGGGACACAGGGGCAAAGGAGTCCTGTCGGAGGACTTAGGTAGGATTTCCAGGAGGCTGGGTTCCACTTCTTCACAGCTCTCGGTAGCTGTGGCCTTTGACTGTGAGACATGAGCAAAAGAAGCTAAGATTAACCAGGCATGGCTCAGGCCTTTAGTCCCAGCTCTTGGGAAGGAGAGGCAGGAGGATCTCTGTGAATTCAAGGCCAGCCTGGTCTATTTAGCAAGTTCTGGGACAGCCAGGGCTACACAGAGAAACCCTATCTCAAAAAAAAAAAAAAAAAAAGAGTTAGGTATGGAGTGGGCTGGGTTTGTAGAATACGAATTAGGTTAGGGAGTAGCACCTAGGGATAGTGAATATCTAGGTAAATATCATGAA